TGAAAAAATTAAAATACAAAAATAAGTAAATGAAGCAAAATAAAATTAAAAAGATAAATTTTTCTATATAAAGATATGTAAGTGTGTATATATATGTATATATATATAAATCAGTTTAGTGAATGTTGTGGACTCTTTCCTCTAATACAGGTTGAGGTGGTGATGCTTTTATTTTTTATAGGGGCCTTGGCCAAGACTGTCTCTTCTTAAGTTTGGTGTGCTGGGTTATGTGAGTTTTGCTGTTCCTCATTGGACAGCTTTGGGGGTGCTCATCTCTGGGTGTTTGAGCCCAGGCTTCCTTAGGAGAGTGGGGCCTGTGGAGCAAGCCTGTGAGTTAGAAATGAGCTTTTCTCTTGGTGAGACTGCCAGTTTCATCTTGATCCTGGTTTCGCCAAGGCAGTGCCATGCCTGGCTTTCCCTACAGAGGGTGCTGAGTTGTCCCCCCCCCACCGCCCCCCCAAGGTCTTTTTTAGCTCTGTGTTCTGCCCCTTCCCCACCACCCCCAGGCAGAGGGGAAATATTCCCTCTGTGTATTTGGCCACCAGTTTTGTCCAGGGGGGGTGCAGTTGGCTCTCCAGCTGTGCTCAGATATGTGGTTCCCTCCCATACAGTGTGTTTGGCACACTGTGAATCTGGCAGGTTAGCAGATTCACCTGATTGAAAACAGATCATCTACAGAGCAGTACAGGTAGGCGGCAGACAGAGGTTTTGTGTCCGCTTGTGTTTGACGGGTCCAGGTCTCCTCAGATGCTTCCAGCACCTCTCTTTCTTCAGTTCTCTGTTTGTGTTACTGTTGGTGAGGTTGCAGACACACTAAGACAGAGAGAGATCTGCACAAGTGGGAAGCAGTTGGAAATTCTGTGTATTGCATGTATTATGGCAGGTCCAGGTACTCCCAGATGCTTGCAGATCTCTGCCATTGTGTTTTAGGTTTACCAATCCAGGTGGGAGGGGATTAACAGAGAGAGATAAAGAAAACACACACACACACAAAAAGGAAAAGTGGTGGATTGGCTGGGGCTATCTGACCCTGTTTGTTGCCAGCTGTTCCCAGCTAGTGAACAGATCGGCAAGCTAGCAGCAGCTGCTTGACCCTTGTACACTTTAAAAGTTAAAGGGTTGGTCAATGAATATTATGTGCCCCCTTTGTGATGGCAGCATCTTGGTTGGCAGAAAAAGCAGTATTACCTGACCCTTGCTGCCATCAAAATCTGGAGTAATTGAAATCATGCAGGTCAAAGTCCCAGGGTCCATCAGCTATCAAGGGGATATAATTCTTTACAAAGAAGTCTTTGAACAAGCTGTGGGAGAGTAATGACTACCCACTTGCATCTTTATAAGTTGTAAAGTTTGCTTGTTGCTTGGGGAGTAAACAAAAGTGAAAATAACTTCTCAAATTAAGCCCATGGAAAGATTTTCCACATTAGAGGATTGGAAGATTTACATACTGTTAGATACAGTTAACTAAGCTGATCAACAGTTTCAACTCAATTTGTATTGAAATCCCCTCTGGCGTTTTATAGAAATTGGCATGCTGATCCTAAATTTGTATGGAAATCAGAAGGGACCTAGAATAGCCAAAAGTACTTAAATAGAATAGTGTTGGAAGGGTTGTCTTTCTCCTTTTTGAATCTTAATACAAAGCAATAGTTATCACGACTGGTACTAATATAAGGCTTAGAAACAATATAGACCAATGGAACAGGGTTGAGAGTCCAGGAATTAACCCATACATTTATGATCAGCTGATTTTTTTTGGCTTTTTTTGTGGTATTGGGGATTGAACTCAGGACTTCGTGCTTGTTAGGCAGGTCCTGTATCACTTGAGCCACGTCTTAGCTCTCTGTTGATTTTTGGCAAGAGCAGTAGGATGTTTCATTGGAAAAAATAATGTTCTTTTTAACAGATAGTACTGTGACAATTGGATATCTACACAGAAAAGAATGAAGTTGGGCCCTTTCTAAATAGAACATACAAAATTAACTGAAAATGCGTTAGAGATCCTCATGTAAGCACTAAAGCTGAAAAACTCTTAGTGAAAAAAAAGGTGCAAATCTACATAACTTTGGTTAAGAAATGGTTTCTTAGATAGGATACTACAAGCATAAGTAATGAAATTAAAACCTTGTATTTCAAATGATAACTATCACAAAAATGAAAAGGTGGCCATGGGTGTAGCTCAAGTGGTACGAGCTGTTCACCTGTCAAGCATGAGGCCTTGGATTCAGTCCCCTATGCTGCCACCAAAAAAAAAGAAAAAAGTTGATTCAGAATGAAAGAAAATATTTTTGAGAATCCCATATCTAATAATGGTCTGAGTTCTTATTTCGCCATTAAGTTCAGTTCACATCATATTTATTAGTACAGTTGAATTTCTTTATGACCACATATATTTTTAAATTTTTATTTTTTTGGTGGTACTAGGGTCTGAACTCAGGGCCTCATGCTTTGCTAGGGCAGTGCTCTATCACTTGAGCCATTCCACCAACCCTATATTGTGTTGGGTGTTTTCAAGATAGGGTCTCTCGAACTATTTGCCTGGACTGGCTTTGAATCAAGATTCCCCTGATCTCTGCCTCCTGAGAAGGTTGGATTATAGGCATGAAACACTGGTGCCTGGCTGACCACATACATTTAAAAGAGATTTGTCTGTAATCATGAATGTCCAGTCACTTTCCCTGCCATCTACTTAGAAAGATGCCCGTACATTAGTGTCATATACTATTTTCAAGGGGGAAGTGAAGTTTAAGATACAGTAAAACAATTCAAAAGTAATACGAAGCTTGGAAATTACAATTTAGTGGACAAAGGGGGAAAAGTAACTATTGCTGTATCTTTAATTTATTGTGCAGCTCTTCAATGTTCACATCATGTGAAGTAAATAATAGAAAAATTCTTTGTGTGTCACCTGTCTGTTTTCAGCCAATCAGAAGCTTAGGATTACTTGATATGTAATAATAGAGTTTATTTGCAGAGAAGCTGTAAGTCAGAGTTACATGATATAGGGGCTGCATACTAGGGCTTCTTGCAGTGAAGAGAAAATTAGTCTGGTGTGTTTAGTATTTCCAAATTTACTTTGAATTCTGACTCTAGAAATGCACAACCTTATTTTTTCAGTTACAGGTTTTAAAATGTTATTCACTCTTAATACTTTTTAAGACATTGATCTCTGCTTTTATTTTTGATGAAACAATTTAATGAGTTGTGAAGAAAAAACATGACCAGATAGTAAGAGAGAATTTTGCGAAAATGTCTTCGAGGTTTTCGTCACCATCTCCACAGATTGTCCTCTCATCGGAGCCAGTTGATTTAGGTTCTGAAACAAGCTCTTCTTGTTCACTAAGTGAGCTAGACAGTATTTCCCACCTCTTAAGGAAAATATCAACTGATATCAATGAAATTAAAGGAATGAAAGCAGCAATTTTGACGGTCGAAGCAAATCTTTTTGATCTGAATGTTAGAGTGTCACAGAATGAAGCAAAAATTTCATCTTTGGAAGTTAAAATGAATGAATATTCAACATCGACATCTGAATCCAACAGACAGTTGGAAGATTTTCAAGAGGGAACAGAGTTTGAGTCACAGTCAAGGGCTACTGGTGTAAAAATAATTGGCTTCCTTAGAAATATTGAGAAAGGTAAACTCTTTATAATATCTTCTAGGCCACTCAACCTTTGGTGTGTGTCCACATATCCTGACTGTAGCTCTAGTACAGAGGCAGTAAGTTTAGAGAAGTCAAAGTATTTGTTGGTTTGGATACTGTGATTTCACGTAGAAGTTTAGAATTCATTAGGATTCCATCCTCTTTAGTGGAGCTCTCTAAAAATGATTTTTTTTTTTTTTGTGATACTGTGGAGCACAGGGCCTTTTGAGTGGTACGCAAGCCCACACAAAAACATACTCTGCCCTTTGAAAAACAATTTTTTTTGAGACAGCATTTTGGTAAGTTGCTTATCCTGGCCTCAAACTTGTGATCTTATTGCCTCAGCCTCCCAAGTAGCTTGGATTACAGGCGTGTGCTGCCATACTGGCTTTAAATGTTTTGAGAAGATAGATGAATGTAGAAATGAAGCAAAACTTGAAATGTGAGAAAATGGTCCTCTTTTCAAGCATCTGTGCGAAATTATCTTAAAGTCCGTAATTTTCTTCATTATTCACTTTGTTAGAGAAACCTGTTATAGTATTTGCACCCTGTAATTGCATTTTCAGAGCATTCTTTCTGTAACCTATAACATGTCACTTACCCCAACTGTCCCACAGGAATTCAGCTTGACAAAATGTGAGTCATGTGAATTTCAGGTCTGTTCCTCAGGATTTGTTTTTGCCCTGATAATTTTGGAAGCAATTTGCCCTTCTTTGCACACATCACTAGAGTAATGTAACAAATATTTTCATGGAAAATAACTGATAAAACATTAAATCATTTATACTTTGATAATGTACAACCATCTTTTAATAAAACATGCTACTGGGCAAGAGATTATCCACTTGCATGTTTGTAGGGAGTAAGTAAAGCCTGTCCTGGTGAAAACGCACATAATCCATGTACTAAAAATTAGCATGTAGGCATCTTACTAATATTTCAGTACTTGTTACCTTATAACTTACATGCCTTTTTAACTAAATGCCTTTTGTTCTAAATCAGCAAGTGAATGCCTAATATTATCTGCTAAGCACTGAGGGTACAGGGAAGTGAGGCATCCTTCCATCCTTCAAACAGCTTATGAAGGTAGAAAATCAGTTCTTCATCATTGTTTCAGGCAGAATGACTGTTAGGAATTTCATGTGAATTAATATTTTGAACCTAATGTTAGGAGTTAATATAATAAATACTTTAGCTGAGCCCCCTTTTTTTTTTGGCAGTACTGGGGTTTGAACTCAGGGCCTTATCCTGGCTACTAGGCAGGCACTCCATCAGCCCAGAATGCTTTTTTTTTTTTAAATGGGAAATCCAAGGAGTTGCATTTATGCATCACTTGACAACAGGGGCAGGCTCAGAAATGCATCATTAGGTGATTCCATCATTGGGCAAGCTGTGTCCTTAAACTAAGATAGCTGCAGCATCCTATGGGACCATCCTATAGGAACACTGTCCAGTCCAGATGAAACATCATTATGCAGCACACTAACTGTATTTGCACATTCTGCTAATACACGGCCTGTATTGTAGAGTCCTGAGTGCCATCCTTGTTCATTGTGGTTTTTGCATATATGCAAGCCCATTGTTTGTCTTTTGGGAATTCATGATGAGATAACTATGGAATTTTTTAAGGTATCAGTGTATTTTGTTATTTTTGAAGATGAGGGGGTCAGTGAGAGTGACTAAGTAGTAATAGTGAAGGCCCAGGTGACTTAGGGAGGTGCTTGCTGTGTTTATTGGGCATTTGGCTGTGCCCTTTCTCCTGAAGTCTCATGACTACAAGGCTACCTCTTGCTGACTGTTTCACCCTTTACCTTTATTTTTCCTGCAGACTTCAGTCCAAGAGAACTGGCCTCACAGAGGGAGAACTAGCAGTGTCCTCTTTGCTGTTTTGGTTTAACCCTGAGTATAGTTTCCGACCTTACAGGGACATTTCTGTGGTCTGTAAATATCCAATTGTATCATCAGAGCTTTATTTTTAAGACTTTCAAGTGAGAGCCCAAAAAGGTTAATTTCTGAGAAGCAAATGCTGGCATTTATGTTTTAATCTTAGTGAAGTTTTAAAATTTATATTCTAGGAACTCAACAGAGGCAATTGTTATCCCGACTGCAAATTGACCCAGTAATGGCAGAAACACTGGAGATGAGTCAAGGTGGGTAATATTTAAATTTTCACTGCATTGTAGCAATTTTCTGTTGCCATTCCCATTCCTTAACATCATACTCAGTTTATCATGTATCTCAGATCCTGCCCTAAAATGCTACATTTAGATTTGTGAAAATGTTTTAGGGCCAGGAGATAAGATCTGCTTTTTCGTCATGTTTGTATGGTGTTTTTATTTTTTGCTTCATTCACAAACTTGGTTTTTTTCATGTCATTCTTTCTGGATTCCTCACTGTTTGAGCTCATGCTCTGAGGGACAACTTGCATCCATAAACACTGTCCTTCTAATCCACCTTTGCCATTGCACAGAACTGCTTCAATATCCTCTGCTTTGCTCATCAGTCTTTAACTTGACTTTAGAATCTTATTGCCAGGGTTGCACCTAGAATTTGTTCTAAGGCTACTGTCATGTAGTTGTTTGTTTCCTCACCCTAGAGAACACACATGCCATTGGGCTACTTCAGGATTAGGGTGAATTTCTGTGTCCTTGGTCCCCACCCCTTGCCAGATGCACATTCAGTGCCTGCTGAATGCCAGGAACCATTGGATACCTGAAATCTTTTCTCTATTTCCCTTTTTCTTTTCACTCTCTCTCTCTTTTTGTTTTTGGCAGGATTTCACCTTGTAGCCCAGGCTAGCTCCCAACACTCAGTTCTGCTTCAGACTCCCGAGTGCTAGGATTACAGGTGTGTCCCACCACACCCAACACTTCTTTTCTCCTTCTTTTGGTCTCCTATAACCCTGACCTTTGTTGAAAGCTCTGGTCCCTTGATTACTCCTCTCTTAGCCCCCTTCCTGAATTTCCCTCCTCAGTCAGGACTGTACTGGCTGTATCTCAGATAGATGTGCTTCTCTTCTGTAAGAGGTGTCCTTTACCAGATGCCTGGTCCTCCCCATCTGTTAAATGGGATCCAGTCCACACTCTTGCAGCTGTAGTCTCTGCCTCCCCTCTGACTTCTCCTTTCTACTCTCCATCCTTGACTTTGCCTTCTCATCTTCCAACGTTCCATCCTGCTTGCCACATAAGAATATTTTCGTTCAAAAAGTTTGGCAGCCAGGGTATGTATGTCATTTTTACTTCATCAGCTTTTGTGTATTCTCTGTTTTCTTGTTTAGTTTTTCTTTTTACTCTCAGTTGTACACACAGCTTGAAGCATCAAGTAGTTCTATGAGGTTTATAAATGACTGCAGTCTTTAATCTCCTATCATACTTTTTATTTCTAAGAGCCCTTCTGGTTTTGCATGTTCCGTTTTCTTTTTCCTAGTGCGGGAGGTATGCGCAGTACTGGGGTTGGAACTCAGAGCCTTGGGCTTGTGAGGCAGGTGCTCTACTGCTCCGGCTAAATACCTCAGCCCACCTTTTTAAAAAAATATTATTTCTTTCCTTGGTGGTACTGGGGTTTGAATTCAGGGCTTCATGCTAGCTAGGCAGGCTCTCTTGCCACTTGGGCCACTCTACCAGTCCTTTCTTGTGTTGGGTATTATGGAGATAGGGTCTCTTGAACTATTTCCCAGGGTTGGCCTCAAACTGTATACCTCCTGATCTCTGCTTCCTGAGTAACTAAGATTATAGGTGTGAACAGCTGGTGTCCCTGGCTTTTTAATTTTTTTTAAATATACTGATTTTGTTTCATGTATATAATACTTTTTAATCTGATGACATTAAAGTTGGTTTTTGACATTTTTTTTCTTTCCCTCCTTGGTCATGTTTTCTCCAAGTTTGCTTTGACTGCTTCATGATAGAAGTTTTCATCTATCTGTTTGTCTATTTTAAGAGCAGAGTACTAAATAACTGATTGGCATTTTGGGTTCATGAATTGGGCTTGGGAATTTGAATTTCATATTTGAAAGTAGATCCTGTGGTGGAGAGTGATTTTTCTTACCAGTCTAGTTTGGGAGCACCCTGATGTCAGTACCTTTTAGGCCTTTTCTCTCAGTCTAGTCAGCTTCAATAAAGAAGGTCTTTCAAGAAGTAGCATGATTGCCAGAGTTCAGGTAATTCAGAGAAAGAGGGCTGGTGGGATGGGGGAGACACAGTCAACATTAATTATTATGTAATGCTTACTTAACACATTCCTCCCTATCTCACAGTGGACTTCTTTCAGCATGGCTGGCATCCCTCAGTGAAGAGACCCTCTGTGTTTACCTTCTCAAGAAGGTTCTACTTTCTCCAAGGGAGTGTGTATGAAATGGGTAAAGGCTATCAGAAAACCTGCCTTTTTAACAAGAATTTTTATAGTGTATATTTAGGATATTTTGTGTTGGTACCTTTCTGTCAAAGACCATGGTGCTTAATCCCTGGCGTCTGCAGCAGTGATGAATAGGAGAGCACATCTTCATTCATTCCAAGGTCTTCACTAGACAAGTAGGGGGATAGGTATGGTAAGGATTAAAACAAAGAATGCAAATAAATCGACTTATACTTAGGAAAGACTCACTGCTTCTGAAGTGGACCCTCTGCCATGCCTCTCTTTTGTTCTTCCCAAGGTCCCCTTTGCTGCCAGTTCCTCAGCCATTGAAGAATCTTGTGATCTAAATTGGATTTCTTCAGTTTTGACATAGAATTTGGTTTTTATAGATCTGCTGAATTAGTTCCTACTCATCTGTTTCCTACTTTCAAAATGTGGTTGTCCCTTTACAGCTATTTTCTTTGTAGGTATATGCTTTTTGTTTAAAAACCAAATCTTTATTGACATTTTCATGGAACTTCAGGAAGAAACAAAAAAGTAAATGCATGGGCTTAGCCCATAGCCTCTACCTAGAGATGTCCTCACTCCCTGTTCTGCCCAGCTTCCTCATGACCCAACTGCTGATGTTAAACTTGCAGAGGTGATTGGGGCACGTGTGGAGTGGTTTCAGTGCACCCTTCCCTAAACTCTGTATGTGTGCCACTTGCGTTCCTGTGTTTCCTTCAATCTTTGATCCTTTGTTTTCCAGTATTTTCTTTGTTCTTCTCGCTCCTTTTCACTCTTCTTTGTCAGCTCCTCTCCAACATTGTCCCTTAAAAGGTTAACTTTACCCTGTGTCCCATCCTCAGCCTTATTGTCATCTCTGTATTCTCCCAAAGTGTGAAGTAATTGAACTGCTTTATCTCAGAAAGCACAGAGTGGTGGAAAGGAATGCAGTAGCCCTTACACCAAGTTCTGGGCTCCACCTTTTCTAGCTGAGATGTCAGTCACTGAAGAACTTTGAACTACGAATTGGTCATCAGAAACATGGGGAAAAAACCTCTACTTCTTAGACTTTTCCTGGGATGATTCATTGAGATAGCAGCACTGCATACATACAGTTAGACACTAATTTCACCACTGCTTCTATTACATCTTTCACATCTCTCTCCCTCCTATGGGTCAAATTCTGAATTTTCACCTTCCTCTAAAACATGTAAAAGCCACACAAAGACTTCAAACTAAATACATCTAAAGTTGAAAACTATGCCCCCTTTTAAATCTGCTCTTTCTCCTTTTCCTGTACTTCCTGCTTCAACTTTCTTGTTGTCTCCATCACTGTCTCCCTTTGCCATCTGTCTGCCCTCTCTAGAGGCCTGATGCTGCTTATTAAGACGGTGGTTGAAATGGCAGCTGCTGTGAAGTCCTGTGGCAGATGGGAGTGTGTAGCATGTCCTCTCTCTTTTCAAGTGTATTAGAGGGACAGTGGGTGGAGAATCTTTTAATTCAGGATTTTAGTCCTTTTTAAACTGTTTTTCTAAAACCCCGTTTAATTATGTCACTTTTCTACTTGGGAACCTCTTGATTTCTTATTACTTCTAGACCAGTCTCCAAAGTATCAATACATATAAGATTCTTCAGGCTTCCTAGCCACTCCCCTGCCAAGCCACCCCACATTTCTCAAATGCCTGATTAAAAATTCTGCTTTTTCTACATGTATTTTTCTCTGTGTGAAGTGTTCTGCTTGCTCTTTGAATCTTGTCTCCCAGTTTATTACTGCTCATTCCTTTAATACCCACTTCTTTGGAAGCATTTCCTTGACTCCTAAGCTGGTGGAGGAGTTTTTGTATTCTGTGTGGGTTGGGGGTTTTTTTTGTTTTGTTTTTTTTGGGTGGTGGGGGGTTGGCACTGAGGTTTGAACTCAGGGCCTCATGCTTGCTAGGTAGGCATTGTTACTGGTTGAGCCACTCCATCTGTTTTGTATTTTTTCAACACTTGTTACACCCTTTTTGGGTCCTGCTCTCCTGGAATTGTATATATGTCTTTCTTTTTATTTTTCTTTGTGTGCCTATCATAGCACTCTTAGTTGAGTAATACTTCTTCAGTGAATGAATATTCTGTGAATTTTGGTCTGTATTATTTATCTCTTAGCTATAAAAGAAGCATTAATTTTAATCAGTTGCTGACTACAATTAGGTAGGTCAGCCATATCCATTCTTGGCTTAGATGTTATCCTATTTTGAAATCTTACCAGACGTGTTCTCTGTAAGTTGTATTGTGCAAAATGAACAAAACAGATTTTGGGAAGGTAGTTCAATAGTCATAATTCTAGGGACATTTAAGATTCTTGAATTCTCCCTAATTTTAGGAAAAACTTTTATGCTTTTAGTGTGTATTGCTAATATCCTCTCAGATACTTCGCTGGAGAACTTTACTGTTGACAGGGATTGTTCATTAGAATCATTTGTAATGTGCCATATGAGGAACAGACTACTTGAGTCTTTTGCAAAGACATTTAGAATAGAATTATGACTGTTCCTCAGTAAAATTTAGTTGTGATTTGCCTTTGAAAATAATTTTGAATATATTAAAGGTTGACATTCTTCTCACATGTGTAATGTTGGGAATGAAAGGTAATATTCAGAAGTAAACATTTGTGGCCAATTTTTTTGGCTCAGATTACTATGACATGGAATCCATGGTCCATGCAGACACAAGATCATTTATTCTGAAGAAGCCAAAGCTGTCTGAGGAAATAGTAGTGGCACCAAACCAAGAGTCGGGGATGAAGACTGCAGATACCCTTCGGGTTCTTTCAGGACACCTTATGCAGACACGGTAGATGGTTTCTTTTTCTTGTGTAGCTAATTTGTGTGATCAGATAGTCAGGTCAACTGTTAGTTCCCAGCTTCCCTCCTCCCTGCTTCAGCCCCCCATAGAGTGTTCTTTTATTGACTCAGCCAGGTCTTGAATGGTTAGATGAATTCATGTTTCAAAAGTTCCAGGTCATCTTTCTTGTTCAGAAATTCATTAAAATAGAAACAAAAGCTCAGCATATGATTTAACTCCATTAATAAAATTAATTTTCTTTGTATATATCCAAGAAATAGAATTAAAAAATCAGGTGACCAAGAGCAGAAAATCTTAGTAGATGGGGTTTGGATGGTTCTTGTCCTAGAAAATTATCGAAGTATTCAATAAAGGAACCCATGTACAGATAATAAAATTTGTGTAAATGTAAACCTGCTGGCCATTGTGTTCTGAGCAGCTATGTTAATTTTTGACTTACTTCCATTGCCATATGAGAATCAAAGGGCCTATGGACAGTTTGGGAGATTGTCTTACTAAGTTCAGGCTAGAATGTCACTGTTGATGCCGTGCTGCAGTGACTCTTGGTGGCTATCAAATGGTAGCAGAAGTTCACTGATGCTATACCTGGAAGTCCTACCAAATCTTTTTTTTTTTTTTTAACTGAAACAGATGCAAAGCAAGGGGAATAATAGTTCTGCTGAAGAGCACTTTAGGAGGCTCAGCGTTTTGTGTTTGTTTCCCTAATTCTATGGTATTTTTTATCTGTCTGGCAGAGATCTTGTACAACCAGATAAACCTGCAAGTCCCAAGTTTATAGTGACGCTGGATGGTGTCCCCAGCCCCCCAGGATACATGTCAGATCAAGAGGAGGACATGTGCTTTGAAGGAATGAAACCCGTAAACCAAACTGCAGCCTCAAACAAGGGACTCAGAGGTCTCCTCCACCCACAGCAGTTGCAGTTGATGAGCAGGCAGCTTGAGGACCCTGATGGTAGCTTTACCAACGGTGTGTTGAGAGCTCAGACTTGCCCTTCTCAGTATGCTGGCTTTGTGAAAGGAGCCTGCCTTTCTATACCTTGGCTGAATATTGGTTTCAGGCCTTGCTTTTATTTATATTAAGTAATGGCCTTTTTTCTTCTTTCAGACAAAACACTAGTTAAATTTTAGACTGTTTCTCCTGTGTGTGCTTCACAGGCGAGCTGTTACTGTGGTGCTGAAATAGAGTTTGGCCACAGGATCTCAATAATGTCAGTTACGCTTGCTAAAGGTTGAGCCATCATTCTTGATGCTTTGGTTCCTTTTTTTGCTTTAGAACCTCTGTCACTTTCTTTCACCTTGTACCAGTAGCAATCTCTGTCATAATTAATTTGAGAGAAAGATGGATTTGGATTTGGATGCTCTTTCTTCCTCAGTAAAATCTCTTTGAAGGGAGGTGTTCTCACCTAATATGTCAGGATGCTTCTTGGAAGCATAGGAAAAACCTTATGTTTACATTAATACTGAATAGTATTTAGCAGAACTCAAATGAACTAGGTTCAGATGGTCACATCCTTTTATACAGATGAGTATTTGTTGCCACCACTTCATGTCCTGTAGGTGGTACTAGTGGCAGCTGCAGCACCACTGATCCTTTTCATTCCTGATGGAAGAGGTTGTAGAAACACCTCTTCATAAGGAGGAGAGGTATTACTAAATCTTAAAAATGACCAGATTGATCCGGCCGCCAGTGGCTCACCTCTGTAACCCTAGCTACTTGGGAGGCTAAGATTGGGAGGATCACAGTTTGAGGCCAGCCCAGACAAACAGTTCACAAGACTCAAGCTCCAAAATAGTCAGAGCAAAATGGACTGATGGTGTTACTTGAGCCAGTAGAGTGCTTGCTCTGCAAAGATGAGGCCCTAAGTTCAAGCCCCAGTCTCACACACTGAAACACAAAAAGAATAGATTCAAAGAAGAAACAATAATAGATTTTGACATTTTTCCTAAGTAATCTTTCTGGTAGAGACATGAAAATGTATTGAATGCTTTTCCAGTCACTAAAAATACTATGGTATGTTATGAGGGAGATCATGAGCTAGTGCGATATCATCTAGTATCTTTGAGTGCTTTTCCTTGTGAATCAGTGACATGGTGTCATAGTTTTTGTTTGTGGAAGGAGTTGGAAATCTGACCCTATCAACAAGAAGTAAAAATAAAATAGTAACAAAGTCAGAGCCACAATAGGCAGTGCAAATTTCTTGACCCCATATGTGTTGTCTAAGATAAGGAAATTCAGGTGTTTTTACTGCTCTTGGTTTTGATGCTTGATAGCTTAATACTTTAGTCTGTTATGATCCAGTTTAAAGGTAGGTGTCCTTGTCAGGCTGTGTTAGTGTATGTGTAGTAGTAGTGACGCCATCATCACAATTCTTGCCTATGTTACACAAGTGCCATTGTGGAGACAGCTGGGATGAGTGGTGAGCCTCCTTTCCCAGTGCTTTCATTGGGGATTTGTGGTGTTTTGGTGCTTTCCAAGAGGCTTTTTAGTAATCAGAACAGGAGTGTGGACAGAGAGACTCTTGCAGAGCAGTAACAAGAAGTCTCTGGTCTCTTCTTTCACCATAAGTAGGGAGCATTGATTTTTTTTGCTTTTTGAGTTGGTATCTTGGGTACATTGTTTTGGGATGTTACCAATGGCAGCATCTACTTCAAGCCATCCCCACAGGCCCACCAATATATGGCAACACAGATTTTACAGCTTTCCATAAAAAGTGAATTTGCTCTTGAAACTTAAAGCTTATGAAGTAAAATGTTAGTGAGGAAAATGACTTTGACCTTTCTGTATATAGCTTAACATTTCCATCACAAAGAAAACATTTCCTTGTGAAGTATTTAACTTCTTCAGTATTATTCTTTTAGGGGGTGGGGAACTGGTACTGCGTTTGAATTTATGTCTTTCTGCTTGCTAGACAGACTTTGTGCTGCTTGAGCCACCAGCCCCAGCCCTTAATGTTCTTGAGTCCATGTTCTAGCTAACCTGCTCTTTGAAATTCTAATCTTTCATTTCTCCTGGGTCCTCAGATGCATACAGTAGTGTAATGTATGCTTAGGGAGGGGTCAGGACATGTTCTCTCTCCTCCCCAACCCACTCCAGAGGTAAGCAGCTGATCATGGCCTGTAGATGTAATTTTACTTTCTGTGTGTGTGGTCCAAATTTAAACTAGTTGAACATTTAAATTTTTGATTAAAAGATAGGGTTTTTGTATATTGAAATGGAACATCTGGCAACCTAGGGTAGACCCTCTCTCTCATAATTGGCAGTGTTCTTGGACACAAGTGCAGGAGGCGTGAGCTCTGTAAGTGGTGCACATACTTGCTTTTCCAGGTTACTTGTTCCCCACCTATCCCTTAAATTCTTATACTCTGCCAGACTTGTTCTGTTAGGTGACCTGCCCCACCTGTAGGCAGAGGCATTTGTGACCCATTGTAGATAAAGATGTTCTCCTCTTTTTTTAGACCTGGACTTGCTGAATGAATATACCTTAGCAAGTGGCAACACTTTTATTTGAACACTCATAATCTTACTAGAATATGGGAATTAGTTCATACTTCCTTATGGCCTTGTGTTTTCAGTTTCCATCTATTTTTATTGGCTCCCTACTTGACATCCTTCCTTGTCTTTTATATTTAATTCAGTTTGAAACAACAGAGATTTAGAACTTTTGGTGAAAACTTCAGCCATAGGTGCAGAATCACTGTTCACTTTCCTTTTTATAATGAAAACTGTAGACTCCTTCTTGGCTATTTTGTATGGTATTATAACCAGTGTTAATCAGATTATTTGGGTTCATTATTTTGTAGAACTGTAAACATAAGATTTTTAAGAATGATGTTTTGCCCTTTCGAACATTGATTTAGAAATCAATGATGAAAGACAGGCTATAAAATTGGGTGTTTGTGTGTGTCAGTGTGTGTGTCAGTGTGTGTGTCAGGGAGGAGAGGTTACAGGCCATAATCAGTTGCTCGCCTGAAACACCTTACAATTCCAGTGGGTGAATGGAGGTGATTAAGATGGGGGAATATGGTTGATGGAGTTCATATACATCTATGAAATTGAACAATGAAATTTCTTGCAGTTGATTTAAGTGGGGTGGGAAGGGGTCAAGGGGATGAGATGGTGGGAGTAATCTAACCTGTGTACAATATAAGCCTATTTGCAATTGTCACAATGAATATATTCTAATAAAAAAATTTTAAAAGAATAGGGTTTGGGTGAAACTTATTACAAGGACCATGTACTGAATTGATCACAATGCAATACTTTTAATTACTTCCCCTTTATAGCTGAGATGAGTGAACTGAGCATGGCACAGAAACCAGAAAAGCTTTTGGAGCGCTGCAAGTACTGGCCTGCTTGTAAAAATGGGGACGAGTGTGCGTACCATCATCCCATTGCACCTTGCAAGTGAGTAACCTCACCATGATGCTTGTTTTCAATTTAATTTCTTTTTTTTTTTTTTCAATTTAATTTCTATACCTACAGCTTTTTTTTTTTGATAAGTTTTGAGTTTTGTAAGTGGCCCACATCTAACAGTGGCCCTCCCTAGAGCCCCGTATTTGTACATACGTGCATTTGATGTGAAAGGCAGTTCCTTTATGCTTCAGTGAGATACTGAAAGGTCTAGGGTCCCCCTGAGGATTCTGTACATTGACGGAGCAAGGTATATGATAACAACCAGTTAGTGTGCATTTGTTTCCAGACAAATGGATTTTGTGAGGGGTTAGTTATAAGCAATGAAGAAACAGTCTAGACTTGAATTAGTTTCCCATAGCACCTGGCTTGTGAGATGGCTTTTAGGTGTTTTATTTTGTTTTTATTTTTATTTATTTACTTTTTGGTCCTATGGTTTTTTTGGCCCATGTTTCAAGTATAAAGAAATTTTGACTATGTAACGACTATGAAATGTGCTTACTATATTGCATTACCTCATAAAATGTAACATTTACTGATGAAGTGACATGACTAAATCACAAAACAAAGCTACTTTTGTCCCTCACAATGTTCTGCCTTGAGTGAAAAATCTGGTTGTGTTACTTCAGGCTTTGAAATATAGTTGTGTCCTATTTTGATATGTAGCATCATTTAAAAATGGGAGTTTGGGGCATGCCTATAATCCCAGCTACTCAGGAGGCAGAGATAGGAGTATCTCAGGTTAAGGCCAGCAATGCAAGGCCATTCTGGGCAAAAGTTAGTGAGACCCTCTCTCAAAGAAACAGTTTGGCTGTGGTGGTGTATGTCTATAATCCCAGCTACTCAGGAGTCAGAGGTAGGATAATCAGAGCCTGAGGCCAGCCTGGGCAAAAAGGCGACCCTACCTAAAAAACAAACTACTGCTGAAGGACTGCAGCACAGCTCAAGTGATAGAATGCTTGGCTAGCAAGTGTGAGGCCCTGAATTCAGTCCCCACTACTACCAAAAAAGGGAGTGGGGGAGTATTTTCTTTTTATTATGGTGATGGAAATTGAACCTGTAGGACTTGGTTCATGCTAGGCACGGGCTGCACCATTGAGCTACATCTACTTCTTTTGCATTTCTCAAAACAGTTAGTGACAAAGTACAAGTCCCTCACTGAGAATTTTATATATGAATAATACACTATTTTTGTTTTGTAGAGCCTTCCCCAATTGTAAATTTGCTGAAAAATGTTTGTTTGTTCATCCAAATTGTAAATACGATGCTAAGTGTACTAAACCAGATTGTCCCTTCACTCATATGAGTAGAAGAATTCCAGTACTGCCTTCAAAACCAGGTTAGTGACTTTGTGCACTATTGCATTTGGGTAAAAATATATAAAATATCTTCTGGAACTAAACACATAAAAGTAGTTTTAGAAATAATTCTGAACTATAAAAAACAAGTATGCCTCCTCTATAGAAGTGTTTTATTCTGACCAGTGCATATATAAAACTAATTTTCACCTCCTTACAAACATCAGTAGACTGCATTAAAAATTATTTTGCCAAACATCTGACCAGTCTTCATTCTGATTTTTGTCAGCAGTTACAGCACCAGCGCCATCCCCTAATGGTCAGCTCTGCCGCTACTTCCCAGCTTGTAAGAAAATGGAATGTCCCTTCTATCATCCAAAAGTAAGAATTTAAATTTTCCCCAAAACCGTTTCAGTAATAACTTCTCACTCTGAGGTCTGGAAGATCACTTAGAAATTGAATGTCTTGTCTTTTTTCCTTCCCAGTTCAATTTCTTTCTAGTCTGTAAGACCTGTAAGTTTTTCCTTCCTTATTGAGCTCTGTCCCATTAGACCAAGTGGTTTGAAACTCCTTGTGTTACTGTCCTAAGTTCTCGGGGAAGGGGTGCAACTTTGCTTGTTACATTGTTCTTTTGTGCACCTAGCATTTGGATGTTTCTTAACTTCATGCCACAACTGAGATGAATTCCAATAGTACTGCTTATACTCATCCGTATATCCAAATTATACTCATGCTTTTTTGCTAGAATGTAAAGATTGATTTATTGTATCTCCAGCTAGCCAGCTGCTCTGAGTGAATCCCTCTGAGATAGTCTGAAGACTCTGGAGGCTTTCACTTCCCAGTGGCACCTGGATGGATGAGGGGACTCTGTGAGGAGTGAGGGAGGATGTTAGGCAGAGTGTGCAGTGGTGATTGCTACACTGATTAGAAGTTTATATGGGACTCTCAGGTTGTTTTGAAATTTTACTGCTGTGATTCTTTGACTAGGATTTTGCATCTTAAGAGAAGGTTACTGTCTTAAGGCTTTAGAAGTATGAAAATGGATGTTACCAGATCTCTTCCTCCATTAACTTAGGGTGGGCTAAGTACTGTCATCTCAAATTGTGTGTTTACTTGTAGTAATCTTGTGGATGTTGTTGAAGCTTTGTTGTTTCTGTTCAGCACTGTAGATTTAACACTCAGTGTACCAGACCTGACTGCACATTTTATCATCCCACCATTACTGTACCACCAAGACATGCCTTGAAGTGGATTCGGCCACAAACCAGGTAAAGATTTAAATTAACTTTTCTGATGTCAGTCACTTTGATTTTTTTCCTCTTATTACATTACAGGAGGGCCCTTAAGCAAAATGATTTACTCTGTAACTCGTTTTTTTTTTTTCCAGTGGTTACTTTTTTACTTAGATTATCTCTAGATCAGGTATCTAACTTTGAATTATATACTGTGCAGAAATACTGAGGTCAGCAGGAATGGTATGTGTGTTGTACATACTATGAGTCTCAACTCTGAGATACTAGTGACTATAAAATATTCAAAGGAAGTTTGAAGATACATATTTCATTATTTTTTAATCTGCCTTATATAATTGAATTCACTTCCAAAATCTGATACTGTAATTTGTCTGATGGTCTAAAACCATTTAGCCTTTTAGCTGAGGAGTATGGTATATATGGATGCAAAACAGCTCAATTAACAATTTTTTTTGTTTTGTTTATTCAGTGAATGACATGCAGTCTTACCTGGCAGAAGATCATGCAGTTTGAAAGCTTCCATCTACCAATGAAAGATATTCTACAGACTTGTCATACCTTTGAAATTTGGAATATATTGCTTTCATAATATGAAGTTTATTGCCTATCTGAAGTGTCTAATTTTTCAAGTTTGTAAGTTTATTAAGTGGTTTTAACATTGGGTTTTGTTGTTCCTGTTTTGTTACTATGAAAAGACAATTTAAGGAAAAGCTAAATTCTATTAAAACATTTGAGGCATGTTTGTACACTGCTGTTTAAGAATCAACATTTAAAATGTGACATCGTTGTGACAGTACTGAAGTTTACTATAGTGAGGCCAGTGCTCTGAAGTTGAATTTGCACTTAAACTTTTCCCAAAGATGATACATGTTTATAATCCAACCTTAAAAAAAGGTGTGTCCAGAAGTACTGGGGCAGCTTAATGTAGTCATTCAAATCTGCTTTTTAATTTTTAAATGAGTTTATGACTGCTACTTTGGTAAATGGTTCTCAGGTCCCTTGCCTGCTGTTGGAGGAATGCCATGTGAGTGTAGGATGAAAACAGGTGGAATAAGAGGTGCAAAAAATATGAACAGTTCCGTAAATGCTTTCATTTACTATTAACATACTTTTTAAATAAATTTTTTGGGGACTACATTATAAAATTATACAAAAGTTTTTACAAATATATACATAAAGTATCAGAAAAGAGACTTTAAATTCACATTATAAATACACATATATATTCCTGCATTCTAAAAAAAAACATTCTCAGAAATAACTCCACAGAAAGTATAGTTACTACTGAAGATAATTTTTGAAATGTAAAAATTAGATTTTAGTAGTATATTTTAAATGACAGAACTATATAATTACAGAGATCAGATGGGTACATTGCAGAAAAGGACGATACTTAGCCTACTGTATTAATTATGGAGTTTTTTGTGTGTAGTCTTTAATTGTTAAGGCAAGAAGTGTCAAGTGTTTCAGAATTAAATAACAAGTGGATAACTGATTTCAAAGATTTGACGTATAGCAGTGTTTTTCAAAGAGCTTAAAGGATGGTTAGTAAAGGGTGAATTAATGCAAAAGGGATAATATTCAAATGTTTTCAGGACCAAATTAAACTAACACTGTAAAAATTCAGTTCATCGATTTGCAGAGTCATAAACCCAAAGAATAGCAAGTTCACATTTGTAAAGGTCCATGTTTAAGATGTAAAGCCAGCCTTCTGTTGTGATCATTGCTTTTCCATTGGGAGATGAAAGAATTGACATTAAACTGTTTGGTAAGTTGAATTTGGTTGTGCTGATCCCAAAGATTCAAAACACCGAAAGAACAAAGGGAGCACACAAGGGCCCAAGCTGCTGTTAGGCTTAGGTGAAATAACAGTTGAGTGTATTTCATTGAATTTAATGCATGTTTTCATTCTAGTGTTAAGATGCTTTGCATCATAACAGAAGAAATTTCTTTCAAATTGTGTGTACAGGCTTTTAATCATCATTATTTGTAAATGTTTATAGTGACATTCTCATAGTTCCACTATAAAGACCATAATGGTGAAGGAGAGGTCATAAGTGGTTTAGTTCAGCCTTTTTTAAAATGAAAAAACATGCTAAAATCTTTTCTATTTAACAGACACTAGCTGGGAATACATTAAAGAGATTTGTCTTTCAGTTGGTTATAGTTTATGGGCAAGCTAAATTGACCCTAAAACATTTGTTGGGCGATTTGTTCTAAAATCAACCAAAAAAAATTCGTAACAGCTATGAACATGGTTGGTTGGTGATAATGGAGTGGTACCAGAATATGTGGTTGTGCTTTGGCGTGCATTTATATACATGAAACAAATGGGGATTGGGGGCACAGCTAGAGCGCTTGCCTAGCAAGCTTGAGGCCCTGGGTTCAATCTTTAGAACTCAGGAGGTTGGGGTAGGGAGTACAGATGGGCCAACGGTGGTCAGTAGTCTTAGGTTATAAAGTCAGGAGCTTAGATTTTTACACAAAAAATGATTCTCTAGGTTAAAAATAAATATGTAGGGCAGATTATATATGGTTACCTTTCTTCACATTTCCTTAGTTGATGGCTAATACAGCAAGGTGGTTGTAAGATGACTAAAGTCAACCTGACCTTTAGTCATGAAACTGACCATAGCTGATATACTAGATTAGCTGCTTTGAAGGAGAAAAATGCAGTGGAAGCAGTTTGAATGCTGAATTGTTTACTTGCTTAAGATTATAGTGTTTGACCTGTACTGTGACGGAACTGGAAATTCTCTCTAGCTAAAAGCTGGCGAACTTGGAGTAAATTTTTGGTGGTAGTGGGGTTTGAATTCAGGGCTTTGTACTTGCAATGTAAGCACTTTATCATGTGAGCCTCACCTCGAGCCTACTTTTGCTCTGATTATTTTGCACATAGGGTCTTGCTTTTTGCCCAGGCTGGCCTAGGACTGCAATCCTATTTTAAGCTTCCCCTTGCCACTGAACATGACAGGTGCACCCCACCAGGCCCAGCCTTTCTCCATGAAGATGAGGGTCTCACAAACTTTTTTGCCCTGCTGGCCTGAACCACAGGTTTCCCGACCTCAGCCTTCTGCATAGCTTGGGGTAACAGATAAACCCCCACCATGCCCAGCTATTGAGATGGGGTCCTTGATAACTTTTTCCCTAGGCTGGACTTAAACTGCAGTCCTCCCAGTCTCAGCCTCCCAAATCACTAGGATTACAGGTGTAAGGCACTGGGCAAGAGTAAATTTATTATGGGGGTGTTGGTTTAGGGTAGTTTTTTCTTTAGTTTACTGAACACCATGCTATAAAATGTGTTAAATAGAAATTTAATATTAATGTCTTCTCAGATTTGGAATATTAAAGAGAATCCTTTGATGTGAACAGTGACAGTACAGTTTTAAGTTTCCTAACCCCTTCATCAGTTTTTAAACACAGCTATTCAGCTTTTAAAGTGACCAGGCTTTACTGTGATGTTATGTCATCATTTGTGTTTGTAGTATTCACAAAGTGTTGGCCACTGAAAGCAGATATTAGAAATCTATCTTGACAAAACAAACTGGAGATTCCACAAGTCTGAGGGGATCTGTTACCTACAAAGATAACACAGTATAATAAAAATTAATAGGCCCATGAGAGCATCTTCAGCTTCTCCATACTTGAAACTAGAGACAGGCTGAAAAGCAAATTCCTGAATTAGTGAGTACTTATCTTTGGCAGTATTGAAAGTAAAAGGAATTCTAATGGAGTTTTACCGATTCACTCATTTTGGAAATTAGCCGGTGGGTGGCATACATCTAAACAAATTTTCCAATAGAAAAAAAAAAATCTTTATACCAGAATTATTAAATTATGTGAATTTAATGATTTTGTGTTTATATTAGACCACATCTTTAAATACCATTGTTTTCCAAGAACCTTAACAAAACCATACACCATTGGAAAAGTGTTCATCGTACTATCCTACTAATGAGGCTATAATTGTATTTTAATATTTGACAGTTCAAAAGTGACAATGTGGCAGTCATTACAAACTTGGGATCCATTTCTGAATTCAAACTGCAAGAAGTATCCTTTTATAAGGACTTTATGCATTAGAAACACCAAGAAAGCTTGTGTTTGTTTCCTTAGAGAAAATGTTTGCCTTCTTAAAACTGATCTTTAGGATGATGGTGGTTTTTCCTTTCTTAATGAAAATGCAAGGATAAAATACTTCATTGATGAACAACAAACCTTGAAAAAAACAGCTTTGTTGAAAAGGGTGAAATTTTCCAAGGTTTGGTTCCCCACCCCCGCCCCGAGACAAGTCTTTCTATATAGCCCAGGCTGATCTCAAACTTGCAGTCCTCCTGCCTCAGTCTCCCAAGTACTAGGATCATAGGCGTGCACCACCACACCAGTTTTTTGTTGTTGTTGTTTTTGTTTTTCTCCTTTGTTTTTGAGGAGTGCTGTGCCCTGGCAAGTCTACCAAAATTGCATTTCTCAATAAAGGGTGTGACTTTTATCATTAAATATCCAGTCTTTCCTTCAAATGTAATTATCTGGCAGTGTATGGGTTATGAACAGTTACTACATATCAAAAGTTTTGAACTCATCAATCTTCTGTTTTGATGACTCTGGGCATTTCTCTCTGTTACGATCTTCAGTTAGCACCACTTGACCATGAAGAGAGTTTGGTTTTTGTTTTTTCCTCCTGTAATTCTGGTCTCTCAGGGCTCTTAATTTGTAGTCTTCTCGGCATCCAATCTTTCAGCGAGGTGTATGTATGCATTTCCAGACAAATAAACTGAAATCAAAAAATTGTAGGGAGTTCATCAGAACAGTTCAATGTTTTCAAATCATAAACGTGTGACAGGTGTGGTGGTCACACTATAAGTCCCATCACTTGAGAGGCTGAGGCAAAAGGATCAAAAGTTCAAGGCCAGCTTGGGCTGCATACGTAAGGCCTGGCTCAAAAAGAAAACAAACAAGGGCTGGGAATGTGGCTCAGTGATACAGAACTTGTCTAACGTGCATCCCAAGCCCTGCAAAACAGGAAAAAAAGTGACATTTTTCTTCATTAACTCTTTAATTATTCTGTATTTGCGTATGCATGAAGCTTTGAGGTGTTATGCTACCTTCTGACAAATGCTGATGAGCTCATTAACCAGAGCTTAGAGAAGTTGATATATTAAATATCTTAACTAGCTTTAACCTTTACAAAAAAAAAAGTCTGCTCTTGTTGGACTAAGTTACTGACCTGCAGTCATCACCTCCAGCACTAATGACATGTCGATCACCACTGGTAAATCGAATATTTGTCACATGGGGTGAATGACCCAGGAACCTTTTGTGCTTTGCCTAAAAACACAATGACAGACAACACTCAGGACATTTTATGCACACAAAAGTCAAAATTTGATTAATGCTCACTAAAGCTTTGCTAGGATAGTTTGCAGAGGTGGCGTTACTAAAGGGAGGGATTTGTGCTGGAATAATAGCCTTTATTCTGGGGTAATGGATTTAGGAAATTTAGAAATACAAAATAAAAATACAGTACTTTCACATCTGGACAAAACATTCTAAATTTGAGAGGAAAAGTATTAATGATCAGACATCTAAATTGTAACAGAGTGATACACTGAAAACAAACTTACAAATTTTTCTGGACATGGGAAGTCAAATAACTTAACCATGCCAAAGTCATCTCCTGTTACAAGGCTGATTCCTGAATGAGAGACACAGGCACAGTTGACATCGGCTTTCTCAGCATGTCTGGACCAGATTCCCATAACTTCATCTCCCAGAATACTGGACAGAGAGGGAAAAAAATCCACCATAGCAAGCACAGGCATGTTTACTGTACTGAAAAGAAACTGCTTCTCAGTCTACGTAATCATGGTACTTAAAATAGAGCAAGTGGATGATAGGCAGGTTGGAGGCCTGAATTTCATCTGGCCTTCAGATGAATTTCTCCAGCCTTTTTAATGAAATTTTAAAGGACTGGAGGAGTAGCTCAAGTGGTAGAGTGCCTATCTAGCAAGCGTGAGGCCCTGAGTTCAAACCCCAGTACCATAAAAAAAAATAATAATAATAATTTAAGGGATTTATAGACTAAAGTTATCCTATAAAATTCAGTTAATACCTTATGAAAGCTACAGGAGTTTTGACAGTATTTCACATTGACTAAAAAGATGGACACAAGGGTTAACCTGCCACAGCCAACAGGTCTGAACAAGTTTATAAGCTTCATTTCATAACAGCACCCAATATGTGTTTTTGTTGTCATTAAATGTTTAGGAAAATATCACAGCATTTTTTTGGGGGTGGGGGGTTACTGGGGCTTGAACTCAGGGCCTACACTTTGAGTCACTCCACATTCTCCCTCCCCTCCCAAGTGTCTCAGGAACTATTTGCCTGGTCTGGCTTCGAACCAGAGTCGTACTGATCTCTGCCTCCTGAGTAGCTAGGATTACAGGTGTGAGCCACCAGTGCCCAGCTATCACAGCTTTTTTTTTTTTTTTCTTTATTAATATGTGCATACAATGTTTGGGTCATTTCTCCCTCCCTTACCACCCACCCCGCCCCCTCTCTCTCCCCCACCCCTGGATACCCAGCAGAAACTATTCTGCCCTTATCTCTAATTTTGTTGAAGAAAGAGTATAAGCAATAACAGGAAGGAACAAGGGTTTTTGCTAGTTGAGATAAGGATAGCTATACAGGGAGTTGACTCACATTGATTTCCTGTGCATGTGTGTTACCTTCTAGGTTAATTCTTCTTGATCTAACCTTTTCTCTAGTTCCTGGTCCCCTTCTTCTGTTGGCCTCAGTTGCTTTAAAGTATCTGCTTTAGTTTCTCTGCGTTGAGGGCAACAAATGCTATCTAGTTTTTTAGGTGTCTTACCTATCCCCACACCTCCCTTGTGTGCTCTCGCTTTTATCATATGATCAAAGTCCAATCACCTTGTTCACAGCATCTTTAAAGTCATAATTTTGGTTCC